CCTCCATCTCCACTACCCTCATTGCTCCGGCGACTATTCTCCGGACGCGATTAATTCCAGCGACTACTCCGGTGACTGTTCTGCCGCCACTTAATTCCGACAATTGCTCCGATTCCGACAATTGTTAAGGTCACAGTTATATGCAGTTTGGTCATTGATTATTTCGAGATCACAGATCAAAAAAAATTATAAGTCACAGTTGACTTCATGGGTCACTAATAAAAACATTATAGTCACAAGTTATATTGTAAGGTCACAGATTAACAAATTTTAAGGTCACGGTGACCATATAGATGGGTCACAGTTACCCACACCCCTTCCCCCCATCCCAGTACATCACCAATGCTTTGTCACAGGTCACAGATCAAGCATAGATGGTCACAGACATTTCGACCCATCCGCCGCACCAGTCACCAGATCCCAATACACCAACAATACTTGATCACAGGTCACATAACGATCAAATTTTTTTATAGGTCACAGATTGAAAAAAATCAAAGCTTTTACGGGTCACAATGAGTCACAGTCACAAGCTCTAGGTCACACACACCCACGACCGCTACCCCACCACAGCCAACATCCCAACCACCACAAAAAATATTAGATCCATAAAACCACCACCCCTAACACGACCACCGCCACAATAATTATGCAACCGCCACCTCCACCTCACAACCAAAAATGCAACTGCACCACCACAGTCGTACCTCAACCTCCACCATAGCACCATCACCACGTAAATCTGTAACCCACCACCACACAAACACACATCAACACCACACATCAGCACCAACACTACTGCACCACCACGCAGATTAACAACCCACCAACACACAAACAACATCGTGCCACAATTGATTTCTAACCTCCACTATCGCAGCTACAGAAAAAGATTTCGCCCACATCCATCGTCCCTACAACGACAGAAAAAGATTTCGCCCACATCCAGTGACAGATTTTGTAAATCGATAAATATGAATCCAAAGTCGATCCACCACTGGTTGAAAGAGTGAAGGCGATGACTGATTTTTGGTAATAGTAACTGGAGCTAGTGGGTGGTGACGGGAAAAATTAAGAGAAAGAATAAAGAGTCAAAGCAGAGGGAGGGGAAAGGAGACGCTGCTGCGAATCACAGCAGCGTCGCTGTAACGCTGCTGCGATTCACAGCAAAAGGAAGGAGGGAGGGAGAGGGATGGAGGAGGCGGCGGGCTGCGATGGTGGTGGAGAGAGGTGGCGGTGGAGGCGACGACCGGTTGGGAGAAAAGTTGTGAGGAGATAAATGAAATGGATTGGGTTTGGGTTTGGGTTTGGATAGAGTTAGGGTTTTATATTTAAAATAAATTTGGTGGGGGATAGATAGTGGGATGGGTATATAGGTTATT